AGTAGTAGTAGTAGTAGTAGTAGTAGTAGTAGTAGTAGTAGTAGTAGAAGTATTAGCAGTAGTAGTAGTGGTAGTAGTAGCAGTAGTAGTAGTAGCACCAGTAGGAGGAGTATTAGTAGTAGTAGTAGTAGTAGCAGTAGTAGCTACTACCTACTACCTACTACCTACTACCTACCACCTACTACCTACTACCTACTACCTACTGCTAACTACTACTAACTACTACTAACTACTAACTACGACTACCTACTACCTACTACCTACTGCAAGAATCCAAGACTCCGACGTCTAAGCATGTGAGGGATTGGCTAGGTTTGATCGGTTTGAGTGAGCATTCATGTCCATAAGCTGAGCTTCTCATGACCTCGCCGCCTCAAAACAGGAATTCCGTCGGCCATAGACCTGAAAAGGTCTGAACGCTACCGACCGCGCACCGCCATAGGTGGAAAGAGTGGCTTGAGCTGCCGCCGTTGGTCGACGATCACCGGATCGTCGTTGACCCTTTTGTTCGATCGCACCTACTACGTGTTTGAAGAGGTCTAGGTGATCTTTGTGGTGCTAGCTTAGGCTACCAGTGCGGTCCTTGCATTGGTAGCGGAGCCTGGCGGTTTTCGTCAGGCTCCAGGAGCGACAGGGACCTTTGGAAAGCTCTCCTTCCAAAGGCGCTACTTCACTGAGGAGACCTTTGAGATTGAGCCCTTCGATTACAAGAACGATTGGAGAGCATGACAACAATGTCAGCTAAGGAGATCGTGGTGTCCTGGGACGGAGAACCTTCGGCCTGGGCGGACTACTGCCGCAAAGTTCGCCTTCAATATGAAAAGACACCACGAAAGAAGAGAAGCCTTCTCGGTCCGGAACTTGCTTCCAGACTCACTCACAAGGCATGGACGGTGACTGCCGAACTGGACCACTACAAGCTGTCCAAGAAGAATGGTGTGAAGTACCTCCTGATGTTCCTGAAGGAGAAACTATGCAGAACGGCAGTTCCTGATGCCGGAGCCAGACTAGAAGAACTCCTGATCAAGTTGAGACGCCCGCTTGGCATGGGTATGGCACAATGGTCTGCCCTCCTTCTCGACAGCTATCGCAAGCTGCAGAGATCCCTGGTGAGAGCCCGGCAGCAGACGAGGAGCTCTCCTAAGGAGGCTACAAAGACTCCATCAAAACGATCGGAGTCGGAACCTCATGCCGAACCACCTTCACCTACGAGAGTGAGGAGCACCGGGGCACGAACGCCTACATCAGTCCAACATGGTGGAGAAGGAGATGGAGATCAGGACAGGGCATCCTCCCCTCATCCTGAGGGAGGTGAAGATGGTTATGAACAGTTGGATCAAGAAGATCCTGATGATGGCTGGCGAGACTGGCGAACTCATCGGCAATGGACTGATGCTGAATGGAAGGCCTGGTATCTCGACCAGGAAGATGAAGAATCCTCGGAGGACGATCTTCCGTGGGATGAGCTGGAACAAGAAGCGCCTGATGTTCTACCACCTGAGATCCTTGGTTGGCTTCTCCTTCGACG